CACGTGCCCCGTTTGTTTAGTTTATATTTAAAACTTAACTTGAAAGGGTGAAGTTATTAGGAACGAAAACAATTTTTTTGTTTAGTACATTTTTCATCGCATGTAATTTACGGCTCGTCGGTGTTTCCGCGTTTACGGCAGTAATTAGCGTCTCGAATATTTCTTTTGCAAATTTTATGCAGTGCGTGAATGATTTTTTATTTCATATACCTACGAACATATACGTACCTTTCGCTCGTGCTCGTTTTCGTGGATGGTTTGTGGTGGCTTCATCATCATCATCAAGTTTTACATTGGTACTGTTGCGCACAGTCAATAAGTCTGTCTATTCACCAAGAGAGAAGACTATTGTCCTGAATGTTCACGATAGTTAACGATGTGAAATTAACAAATTAAAAAACACAGATATTATTCTGAATGACCAACTTGAGACAAACAGTTCTCCTCTCCTCAACCTATTTCATAAATTGTAAACGTACGCCAAAAATAGATCACTTGAGAAAGGCAATCAGCCGAAACAGCTATAGTGATAAGATTAGATAATAAATTTTTGTGGAAGTTTCGAAAACAAAGTTTTTTGTGTTTTATTGTTACGTATATTGTTTAATAAATTTTGTTGGCTTTCATTTGCCTTGAGCTTTCAGTTACACGATGTTAGATTACATATGCATACAAGTGTTGAAGTTAAAAAAAAATAAGACTTGAAACTTACTTTCAAATGTCCGGAAAAACAGTATACAACCCATTTTAGTGATAAGAAAGAATATAATATATTACAACATAGATAATGACTCCTTTATTGCATTATTCATCGTATTATTGTTTAATCCGGTTAATTTAGCGAACCCCATAAAATGTTAACAAAATGAAGAGCAATATAAGGATTTAAAGTGTATGCTGTATACATTTATAGCTTAAAAATATCAGTTATAAAAAAAATTGTCAACATTTTTTTAGAAAATAGGTTTTTTTTTTAATCGAGTTTGCACACCTATTTAACTAATACTAGTTTATATAAATTTACTATTGAACAGTTTTGTGACGTCCTAATATACTAAAGATACTTAACCTTCGGAGTACAAAGACTGGGTCAAGCCTGACCCGAAATTCACTTATTTCTTAATATTTCATGAAATAATTTTTTAACAAATCTGATTGTTCGTAAGTTCTCCTTATTTGTTTCAATCTATTTTTTCGTGTATCATTCGTGAACATGCAAATTGCAGTTTTTCCTCTACGTAAAATCTATGATGTCGGGTCAGTCCTGACCCGGTCTTCGGATCTTGAAGAATTTTTCAATGTGTTTGTAGGTACACGTAAAACGCAGCCGTCTCTGTTATCCAGTGAACGTATTCAAGGCAAAATGATTATATTTGTAGAAATATTAGTAGATAGAAGTTAACCTTGGGAGTAATGTAGTGTCTAATAGGCATATTCTTTGGGAACGTCCGAGACGAGAGGTCTAACTTTGGTGTAAAGCGGTATTTCACGTTTGTTGATCAATTTAATTCAAGCATCGATCTTGAAGTGTGCAGTATTATATCAAAATGGGAAAAAAGAATAAACCTTTGAGTGAAGCTAAGTTGTATGCCTTACTCATATCAGATAGTGAAGAAGATTATGTTGCAGAGCTGGATGAAAGCAATAGTGAAGCGAGTGATAATGACGGTTGTGAGCCAGAAGCACATGAAGGTAATTTATCAATTACTGAACTCGAGAATGAGGAAGTTTTAGCGAAAACTTCTGAAAATATAGATAGTGAAAGATCTAGCGTATCTAATGTTTTGTGCTAAAGACGAACATGGCGTTATTTAGCTCCAAAAAAGGGTAAAACATTGGCATGTAATTTATTACAGAAAAACGTAGGTCTAACTAAGAAAAGTCAAAATATTGAGACATGCATGGATGCCTTCAATTTATTTTTTTCTGATAGTATAATGTCAATGATTCTTGAGTATACCAATAAGAGAGCTATTGAGTTCATAGCTGCGTTTAACAGTAAGAACGAGAAAAAAATAAAGGATTGGATTGAAGTTGATCTAGTCGAACTGCGTGCTTTTTTTGGTATACTTATATTATGTAGAAGGTGCAGAGAGTCCCATGAGAAGGTGCATAATTTATGGTCCAATACAAATAATGCATTTACGCGTCCTATATATAAAGCATCTCTAAGCCGGGATAGATTTATAAGTATTTTGAAGCATATTCGCTTTGATAATTTGGAAACGAGAGCAGAAAGAAGAGAACGAGATAAATTAGCTCCTATTCGAGAAATCGCTGATCTATTTGCCCAAAATTGTAGGGAATCATACGAACCATCTGCTTTTGGTACTATTGACGATCAGCTTATAGATTTTAGGGAACGTTGCCCATTTCTGATTTATATACCAAGTAAACCAAAGAAATACGGTATAAAGTCTTGGACCCTATGTGACGCTGAAAATTTTTATTGCTGTAACTTTAAGATATATACTGGAAAGATTGGTGATCAATTTGAACGTAACCAAGGCCCAAGAGTTGTCAAAACACTTGCAGAACATTGGTATAGGTCTGATCGAAATATTACAACTGATAACTTTTTTACCGATATTGCTTTATCTGAAGAACTGTTAACCAAAAATTTAACTCTTTTGGGTACTATCAGAAAAAATAGGAAGAGTTTACCCAAATCATTGCTTGAAATGACAGATCGCTCACTGTATTCTTTAAAATTTTTGTTCACTAAAAACATTACCTTAGTTTCATATGTAACCAAGCCTAATTTTGTTGTATTATTATCGACCTTACACAATGAACATGAAATTTCTGATGAAAACCAAACATTTAAACCAAAGATTATTTTGGATTACAACAAAAACAAAAGTGGAGTCAATATTTTAGATAAATTGATCAGAGAGTACACATGTAAAAGAGTAACAAGAAGATGACCCTTACGTATATTTTTCAACTTTTTGGATATTGCGTGCTACAATGCTTTCGTTAGGCAACAAAACGAGGTCGTTGTTATTCTTGTAGGGGTAGTGACAATAAATATTCAAAAAGGTGTGACATGCGTAAAAGATTTGTTTGTAATACTCATTCAAAACGCGAAGAAGTCCATATTGTCAAAATTAAATGCAACTACTGCCAAAAATACCACGATGGTGAACCATCTTAAAAAATTTAAATACAAAAATTTGGGATCATAATGTTTATGTTTCTTTGTTTTTTTTTGTTGAATTAAAGATACTGTTTAATAATACTGACTATTTAAAACATCCTTATAAATTGAATGAGAATGGGTCACGCTTGACCCATCTAATCTAAGTAAGTCAAATAATCTCCGTACTCCGAAGGTTAAGACTAAAGTATTTTTCATTGAATCACTTGGTATTTTATTATGTATCAAGTTCAAATAATTTGACCCGTTTTCGTCTTCAATTGATATTTTAGAAGTTTAAAAAGAATCTTCGGTGTTGGTGTTATTTTGGAGGCTCGATAAAATTCCCTTTTACTTTCCGTAAGTTACTTCTATAAGTTTTGTCATTTTACTTTATACACAACAATTTTTGTAGAACCCCAGCTCCGGGTGACATGTGTGTTCCAATGGAACAGTCGAAGCAACATGTCCGAAGATCAAACCGGTCATATTCCATAATGGTGCATTACCTATCTGAGTTGTCACCAACACATTCTTCCAATTACCACCTCGCAAGCTGTACACGTGGAAATTACCACAAGACAGACACGGAAGAATTATTAGGAATCAAATAAACTACATTTTAGTAAATGAAAAATTTCGAAACAGCTTTATATGTGTCAAGACTTATGCTGGAGCAGACTTGAAGACAGACTATGTTTTACTGGTGGGAGTATTTCGAGTCAAACTCAAAACAGTGCAGAAAAGGAAAGCGCAATCATATGACGTATGCTGAAAGATCTTGATGTGGGAATAAGAGTCCAAGCCACATTAAACGAGCAAGTGACAGCAATTGAAGACGAATCGAACGAAGAACAAATCATCAAACATATTACAGAAATAGTGCAAAATGTAAAGGATAAATACTTAAAGACATAGAATAATGAAGATAAAAACATGGATGACAAATGAGATTCTGCAAATAATGGACGAGAGAAGAACAGCCTAAAATAAACCCACACAAATATAAAACCATAAATATATTAATAAGAACAAAAATCAGAGAAGCGAAAGAAAAAAAAGCAAGGGAAAGATGCGAAGAAATTGGGACTCTGCAGTCAAAGTACGATAGTCACAATGTAGTCACAATAGTCAAAGAGCGTGGAAAGAATATCTAGAAAAACTATTTAAAGGCCGAAGAGGTAACACCTTTAAGCTAGAAGAAGAGGTAAATGATAAACCAAGAATATTACAGCAGGAAGTTTGTTCCGCAATAACACAGTTAAAGGATGGCAAAGCGGCAAACCCTGATAATATACAAGCTATATTTGGAAAAAGAGGTCCAGGAAGAAGAAGAACGTCTTGGTTAAAGAACCTCAGAATCTGGTTCAATACAACATATGTGCAGCTTTTCCTCGCTGCTGCAGATAAGATAAAGATTGCCATGATGATCGCCAACATTCGTAACAGATAAGCACATCAAGAAGAAGAATATAACTTGGTTCTCTATTCTTCCTTATATAATCTTTCCTTAAAATCTAAAAACAGAGTTTGTTACGCTTACACCTGTACAGTTGTAAGACTTTATATTATCGCCTTTTTTATGGATGTAGCTACAATAGCTAGTTCCGTCCATAATTCAAAATTTCAGTGTAGAGGTCTGTGTGTCTAGAAGTTCATCCACTTTTCATTGACATTAGAACTTTACTTCAGTTGGTGTTAGTAAGTTTTCTCCTATAAAAGATGTCACTGCTTTTTTGACGTCTTTTCAGCTTCTTTTTTTTTTTCATGACAAAGGTTTGTGCTTTTAAAGGATATAGAAATATAGCACGTAACCCTTTTCGCAGTTATAATAAGGTTCGAAATAAAACACTTTACATTTAAAAATAATTTTTACTTATGTCTAAGATACTCTTGTATTTCCTCTAGAGTTTTTCCTTTGGTTTCAGGTACAATGAAGTATGCTAAAGCAGTAGAAATAAGATTACAAGAAGCAAAGAAGAAAAACGGACCATATAGTCCAGTATACCTATTTAGGTAATAAAAAATATTATTAACAAGAATTGAACTGCCTGCAAATACCATGGTACTAATACAAACTCCTTTGACTTTTACACTAGCTGAAAATAATTCACCTAACATCAAAGTTGGTATTAGTCCAATTCCAAATGCCGACACTAATACAAATAGCAGCATACCAGCTAAAGGTAACCATTCTACAGATTTCATGTTTATACTCGGCACATTAATGTCAATATAAAAGTATATACCTTCCGAGATCATAATTAAAGCTGATAAGAATATAGAAATTATGTAAGATTTTCTTCTTCCTAGTTTATCAGAAAAATAGGAGGCGCTTACATAACAAATTAATATTGCACCTATATAAATAACAGACGAATCTTGTGCGCTGATGTTACCACCTGCTTTTTGAAAAATAAACTGAGTATATGACGTAAATACGTAGATTCCTGAGAGAAGTTGCGAGATTCTTAGAAAAGTAGCAGCCGTTAACGCTCTACGATTGGCCTTTATGTTAATTAGTTGAAGGTAAGAACCGTTTTCAGCCATCTGTCTCTTAACATCGAGTGTAATTTGATTAAATTCTAATTCAACATTTTCTTTTCCTCTTAGAATTTTTAAACTCTTTTTAGCCTCTTCAGATCTATCCTTCATTATTAGAAAATATGGACTTTCCACTCTAAAAATAAATGTTAACAAAAAGAAAGCTATTAAAACTAATACCATTAACGCAGTTTGTTGGACAGTATAAAGGCTGCCCAGTATATTTATAAGTAATTGGCCAATATAAGCCACGCATAAGAAGGCATTACCCCAGACGCCTCTGACACTCGGTGTAGAAATTTCTCCAATATATGCAGGCATTGAGGCAAAGAGAAGGGCATCGCCAAATCCACCACATAACCTAAAATATTTGTAATATTAATATAAACACGAAATAGGAAGAATAAATACAAATCACTATTTACTTAAATTTGGTGAAAAGTTTTATACAGAGTGATCAACTTTTATGACAAACTCAAGGTTCTAATCAGATTTTCGTCTTTTAAGTCAATATAACTCTGATTCTAAGAGTGGAAAATCGTTCAAATTAAAGGTATTGATGTTAACTATTTACTCAAATAACTTTCAAAGAAATGTTTTGGATTTTTTATAGGCGTTTAAAATGTTCAAAAACGCAAATCAATTTGAATTTTCCGCCTTTCTCTCATTTTTCTTTAAGTATTTTAATAAAGCACAAAAAGCCTTTAATTAAGAAATCTATTTTGAACCGTAAAATAGTTTCGAAACACAATTCAAATTTCTGCTTCAATTTGTGCTTTCTAAAAATTGCAAAGCAAAACAGACGTTGCTGAAGGTGTTAAAAGAGACATGGGGAATCTAAAATTTGCATTCCACGACACGTCTTTTCAACTAAGCAGAAATCCTTAGCGAATTGATTTCTTGTACTCGTACAGAGTAGATCCCAATAAAATGAAAAAGACAGCAAATATTTGATTTCACGCAAACAGCGCTTTTGTATCTGTTGATACGTATTTCGACCTAATAGGTCTCATCAGAACAGTTATTCAAAGGTGTTCTCAACGTGAAAGATCAATATTTTCGGTCTTTTAAGAAGCAACACTAAAATGGCTTTCGATACGGACTCAATAGCGACATCTGATAATAAAACCATAAAATAGTTTCGAAACGCAATTCAAATTTCTGCTTTAATCTGTGCTTTCTAAAATTGCAAAGCAGATGTTGATAAAGGTGTTAAAGCACAGATTAAAGCAGAAATTTGAATTGTGTTCCGAAACTATTTTACAGTTTTATTATCAGATGTCGCAATTGAGTCCGTATCGAAGCCATTTTAGTGTTGCTTCTTAAAAGACAAAAAATGTTGATCTTTCACGTTGAGAACACCTTTGAATAACTGTTCTGATGAGACCTATTAGGTCGAAATACGTATCAACAGATACAAAGGCGCTGTTTGCGTGAAATCAAATATTCGCTGTCTTTTTCATTTTAAATCTATTTTGGTAAAAAATAAGCGAGTTATGACCAAAAAGATGATTTCTTTACGTTTTATAGAATATTGAGGTTATATGTCAATTATAACGTCCTTTCAATGAAAATCGTAACAAGTTTAACATCCTGTATAATTGAAAAGGGTTACAAAAACAACATGTTGTAGTCATAGTTTTATAATAATTGTCTAAAATTATTAAAGTAATTAATTTTGATTATATTCATTCAATAGAATACAAAGTAAATCAAAACGCAGGAATATAGTTTACTTGAAAATTTTAAATCGATTCTATATTTTATATCACCATCAAAAAATGTTGTTTCCATACTTTCATCATCATCACCCAGCAATTTGAGTCGACTGCTGGACAAAGGTCTTCCTCATTTTTGTCCATTGTGCTCTATTTTGAGCACTTTTTATCCGATTTTTTGTAATTTTTTTGAGATCGTTGGTCAAATGTTTTACGTTTTAAAGAAATTGATGTATCGCTTTTAAAAATGTCTTTGAGTTTTCCATAGGCTGTCCATACTAGGTTTATTCTTCTTCGTAGTTCACATATTTGGTTGTCTCTTGTGACCTTTATTTTGTGTCCAAGGTATAAGTATTTTTCCATCAGCTCTACTTCGTTGTCTCCAATATTGATATCTCTGCTAGGTACTACGTTTGTCATGAAATTTGATTTGAAGATGTTTATTTTAGGACTTACCCTGGCACACACTAACTGAAGTTCATGTAGTGTTGTATATATCTCATTGAGGTTATCCGAGAACAAAACTATGTCGATTACCTATTTTGATGGTATACAAGGCAAATATCGAACACAGTAATTAATTAAATCTTGCCAAGTACTTTCGATTAATAAATCATCCTCAGGGGCATTTCGTCAGTTGTGGCCTATCCAACATAAGCAGAATGTCATACATGTAAATTTGGACATAACAATACAACAACATGTCGGATAGGGCACAACTGACGAAATGCCCCTGAGGATGATCTATTGATCGAAAGTACTTGGGCAAGATTTAATTAATTACTATGTTCGATATTTGTCTTGTATACCATCAAAGTTCATTTATTCGAACATTCAACCTTATATTAATTAACTATTTGTTAATCTTCTTCCGTCAATGTTTAGGTCTTTCTTTTCCCAGTTCAGTTTTTTACAAGCATATTCTAGTACTGCGGTAAACAGTTTAGGCGATAAGGTATCACCCTGTCGGACTCCCAATCTGCCGATTGGAATAAGATCCGTGTTTTCATGTAGTTTCACCGACATATTTGCGTTCTTGTATGTATTGTAAATTAATCCTGTATATCGGTATTCAATGCAGCATGCTTGTGGTGCTTCCAGGATTTTGTCAAATTCTACCGTGTCAAGGGCTTTATGAAATATTGTTTTGAAGCTATTTTCTTGTGGCATTTTAAATGAATTACTATTTAACTGGGAATAAGCCACAATTAAAGTTTAAAGTACGTTTATTAATGTTTCAATTTCCACTTTGGACATCGTTCTCAGAATTGTAGTGTGTTAATGTAGTGTTATGTACAATTTATGTCCATTTTCATGTGTATTATATTCTACGCTTGCTGGATAGCCAAAATTTGACGAAATTCCCCTATTGATGCTGTAGATAGCGAAAGTACTTGGGCAAGATTTGATTAAACTTGTGCTCGATATTTGCCTTAATTTTCAAAGTTTTCAGAATCCCTTTAATTGTGGCTTATTCCCAGTTAAATAGCAATTAATTGGCTTTATGAAAATCTTCAAGAGATAGAACGAGTGGTCGATTGTATTCGATAGTCTTTTCTATTACCGTTATATTGATCTGTAGGTGATCATTTGTTCCAAATCTGGTACGAAATCCCGCTCGCTCTATTGGCTGATAGAAATCAAGTTTTTTCTCAAGTCTATTTGTTACTATTCTTGTAAAGAGTTTGTATAGGTGACTAAGAAGACTTATCGATCTGTAGTTTTCTAATTCACGGGATCTCCTTTTTTGTACAATAGAATTACCTCAGTATTTTGCCATTTGTCGGGTATATTACTGTCCAAAAGGCACATGTTAAAAGGTTTTTTTATTTTTTTAAGTAGGCAAGTGCCTCTGATTTTGATTGCATCAGTAACTATACAATCTTTGCCTGGAAATTTGTTATTGTTAACTTTTCTTAGGGCCAGTTTTATTTCGTCCATTGTGATTTCCGGTAGTAGTTCTGATCCTTGGTTGACAATGCCCTTTTTCCTTGTTATTATTTCTGGTACTTGTACTCTCCTCTGCTATTTGCTTGGTGTTGGCTTTTATGTACAGCAATTTGTAGAAGTCTTTAACTATTTTAGGGGTTTCCTCTCTGTTGGTTGTAAGATGACCATTTCTATTTTTAATCTTTATTATCTGCCTTGTTCCCGTTCTTATTCTTTTTCTCAATACTTTCATACTTCTATTGTTCTTAATGGTACGTTCGATTTGTTCTTGGTTGTATATTCGAGTGTCTTGTGTAACAGCTTTGGATATCTCTTTGTTTAATTTTTGTCGTTCGTCGGCTTTCTAATTTCCATCTCGCTTCTCATTTCTTTTTTTTGCATTAGTTGCTTAGTATTTTGGCTAATCTTCCCTTCTTTTTATGTTCTAGGACTGAATTTGTTTTGAATTTCCAGTAAAGTTTCTTTTTAGAAAAAATATTCGTTTGGAATAGTTTATGTTCCAGCATGAACCTTAACAGTATTTTGCCACGTTCATTTCTACCATTAAAGCCAAAGTTTCCCAGTGGTGTTTCTGTAGGGTTGGATTTTATTTCTGTTTTGGCGTTAAAATTACCACATATAAAAAATAAAATGTCCTTGATGGTCTTTAAGAGCAGTTTCGATATCATCATAGACTAGATCCACTTCTTCTTCATCATGGTCTGTTGCTGGTGCATAAACCTGTACGATTTTCATATTATACCTTGTATTCAATTTGAGAGTAAGGGAGAGCGCCCACCAAAGTGGCGTGGCACGTGATACGTAGCAAGTAGCACGCGTCTAGCATGTTAAATAAAATATAACCAATGCAAACGAATTATTAGATCGAATGACGTCACTGTCATTTTTGGTGTGCGCTGAATCATTCGTTTTCATTGGTTACATTTTAAGTAACATGCTAGATGCGTGCTACTTGCTACGTGCCACGTGCTACGCCACTTTGGTGGGCGCTCTCACTAAGACAAATCACTCTTGTGGAAAATTTCTTTAGTGATACTATACTTCTTTGTAGACGCTTGTGTAAAATGAAGCCGGTTTCTCCTAAGGAATTATTGTCGTCACCTGCGTGGTAAAAACTATGTCCTGATTTTAGTTTAATTAAGTGTTTGCCACGTCTTCTGACTTTGCTGAGACCGACTATGTCCCACTTTATGTTTTCTAGTTCGCACTCAAGTTCAGTTAGTCTTCCTGACATTTTCGTGAGGAGTGTTAACCTTTAGACATCACGCTGGCTAGACGTGTTGGTGAGTGTTTGTTTCTAGCCGCCCATTCTGGTTCCGACGCTGTTTGCGGCCGCCCACTGTGGATCAGACGCCGCGGGTTGTGATTTTATACTATACCTAAAATCAAGGGTTGCCAACTAAACCATCTTCCCGTACCAACAATATTTCTTAGTTGCCTTGGATGCCGTTCTGAACTTCATCCGTGACCATAGACAAGGAACCCTAATCAGGTGCTAGATTCCCGGGTCAAGAAGCTCCTGGAATTCTGCGGAGGACAGGGAATAATTCTTTCCCTGATAGGACTATCCAATTAAATTCAAAGGATTTCAAAGGCGTTCCTACCCGCTATTTCATACTTTATTTTTTATAAAACATTCCCAATGCCTAAAGTTATTAGTTTTTTAGCTGATTAAAATTTTCGATATGTGATAACTAATTTGCTAATTATGATAACAAAAGAAAAATACTACCTTGCAACGTACAGCAACCATAAATTATTTGCAAAAGCCTTGATTGTAAAACAAATTGAGTATGGTAAAGCTACCAAAAGCAGCGAGTTTTTCCTTCCAATAATATTGACCACAGGTACCAGAAATACAGGAAGTATAAATAAACCAATGACGTGGACGGTGGTGAAGTAGGAAGCTTGTTCTTCGGTAATATCATAATTTACTTTATCAGCAACTATTCTGAGAATATACGGCGATGGCCATGCAAAAACGATGCCACTTACCATTCCAATCAAAGCAGCTAAAATGTATAAATATTATTATAATTAATGGACTAAACTGTAACGATCAATAATTGAAAAAAATTATAATTAGGATAATATACTAGACCAGGAGTAGGCAACTAATTTTGGGTGGGGTCCAAATATATTTTAAAATAGGTTTATGAAGGTCCAGAAAAATAAAATTGGCGAAACTTCGTTTTATGGCTCCATCGAGTGAATCAAATTAAGTATCATCGTATCACGAAGTTCTGCTAAAAGCCCTCGTATGGATGGTTAGCTAATTTTAATTTTCACACACAACATAGAATTAAAATTCCATTTCACTTGTGTTCTTGAGCCAGTTTTTAAAGTTAGGTTCACGCTGAGAGCAGCTAATGCGAATACTCTCCTCAAGGAAAACACAGTTTCACAAAGACATGTGGAACCAAACATAGTATTAAGGTAAAAGGTCAATTTCTTGCAGTTTTTACATTTTTATGAAACATGTTTACTCCAAAATTCTTGGGTGAATCCAGTTTTATGTATTTACGATAAAATGTCTTCCAGCAAGTTTATAATCACCATTTGGAGCAAGGGCTTTGAAATGAAGAACAAATTCGCAGCAACATCATTCCATTCTTATAGAGGAGGAACTGCAAAAGGCGCTTTGCAGAATGCCTACAACTTTTCTACCTGTGTAAAGTCTTCCAATCTTCTTGGCAATTCCTTTTTAAGATCTTCAATGAAATCTAAAAAATTGAAACGTCTATTTCTGATTTAGAATTCTTCTTGTGTTCAAGGGTTGTTGGAAAGTTGAAAGTTGTTGGTAATTATATTTAAAATGTATGTGATTGAAATGTTAAAATATTTTTGGCGGTCCAGTTTTTGGCTGGTTTAAGACCGCGGTCTGTCAGTTGCCGAAAGTTGGACTAGACGTTAGAGACGAAAATATCTGTGAACGTTTAAAACTTATACGCACAAACTGAATTTAATTGGGACTGTTAATTTTGACAACCCAAAACAGATCCAAAACGTTTGCCACTACTACCTCCGGGCTTGCCCCTATAAACAAAAATATTTATTAGCATTTTTTTTGTAGAATGAACCGTTCTCTCAGAAACAACGCTTGAAGCCACCAACGATTTTGAATTTCAGTTATTTTTTAAATAGACTTGTTTAAGAACAAAGATACTGTTTACAGAGTAAAATACGAACGTGGAAATAATATCTAGAAAATTAATTTGAAGATCAAAGAGATACCATCTTTGAGCTAGAAGAAGAGGTAAATGATGGACCAAGAATATTACAGCAGGAAGTTTAATCCGCAATACCACATGGTTTCACAGACGGAGCTAACCTATTCATACCGATAATTAACGATCTATTCCGATATTCAGGCTAGGTCATTCAATAGCTTCATATTTTACCTAACCGTTGTTAGTCTTAAAATATTGTTGAACGTAGATACATAGTTCATTCGTTACACAAGATTTCGGTCTCAGAGACCGATGTTAGCTTTTGCGGCTGTATTAAAGGTAAGGATTGTAACTTTTAGCGTTGTATTTTTAGGGAATAAAACTATTATTTTTTTACTTTTTAGAAATAGAAATGAACTAAGAGGAGGAGCAAAAATATTTGCAGAGACTTCTAGAGGAAGTTGATAGTAATAATGAATTGGAATGCAACGATTTCTGCGGATAGTTCTGAAGAAGATGAAGTTGAAATACAAGATCTCGATACAGATAGTGAACAGGATATATAAGAAGCAGAAAATTATGTTTTTGATGAGGCAGAAGCACAAAATATTTGCCGGCGAGTTCCAATTTTATTTGGTAAGAATAAAAAAACTAAATGGCGAAAGCATGTTGGTAATAAGCGAGTGCGTACGAGAGCAGACAATTGAAGGAGGCATTTACCAGGTGTAAAGGGGGATGCTAGGGAGAAAATAATCTTTAGTGATATTTGGGGCTGTTTTATAACAGACCAGATGTTGGAACTTATTGTAAAAAATACAAATATAAATATTGAACTACATGCTGATCCTCTGAATAGAACCTACAGAAAGACGGATATACTTGAAATAAAAGCACTTATAGGCCTGTTGTACATTACAGGAAAGTTCAAGAATAACCATCTCAATGCTCGCGACTTGTTTAGAACAAACGGTACATCCTTAGAAATATTTCGCCTTACAATGTCATACGAGCGATTCAAATTTCTATTGGCATTTATTCGCTTTGATAATAAACAAACTCGTGCAGAGAGACAAAAAGTTGATAAATTTGCTTCTATCAGAAGCTTTTTTGAAGACTTCAACACCAATTTGCCAAAACACTACGCCATGTCACACTATTGTACAGTTGATGAAAAATTAGAAACCTTTAGGGGCCGCTGTGGGTTCAAAGTTTATATGCCAAAAAAAACCAAATAGGTACGGTATAAAAATATATGCCTTGACTGATGCTAAATTACCTTATACCTCAAATTTAGAAATTTATGTTGGTCAGCAACCAGAGGGACCCTACCAGCAAACCACAAAGACTTTGGATTTAGTAGTACGTTTGTGCAGACCTATCTGGGGTACAAATAGAAATGTTACTCTTAAAAATTTTTTTACCAGATCTGCCTTTGGAATTTACGGCGCCTATAATTAGGCCTACTTCTACAAGTATGTTTGCATATCAAGATAAATGCACTATTGTTTCGTATATTCCAAAACCGAAAAAAAAATGTGCTCCTGATGTCAACAATGCATTATGAAGATGATACGTTGGATCCAAAGACTTGTAAGCCTAACATAATAATTGATTACAATGAAACCAAAGGAGGAGTCGACACTATTGATAAGATGTGTGAAAGCTACAATTGTGCAAGATCGACTAATCGCTGGCCCATGGTGATATTTTGTGCAATATTGAATATCGCCGGCATAAATTCATTTACAATATACAAGTGTAATTCTGCTCGGACAGAGCAACGCATACTACCACATGCAACCACATGCAAGACGTAGAGCAATTGCAACAAACCTGCCAAGGGTGATAAGTATGCGACTCAGAGAAATGTTTGATATCACATTGAATGTACAAAATATTGAAAAATCTAATGGTCGTTGTTTTTACTGTGGAAGCAAGAAAAGTCGAAAAACAAAGTACAGTTGTTACTCATGCAATAAATTTATGTGCTTAGAACACATGAAGGGTATATGTGTGGAATGTTCAGAAAAATATTGACTTTTTTTAAGTTTAAAGTTACTTCGTATTATTAGAGTTGCTTAAGTGTGGTTATTATAAGTGGATAATTTCATTTTTAGTTTAAAAAATAACTCAGCAAATTTTTTTGTTTATATTACGATTTTAGTTTTTTTCTCACTATTTAGAATAGTTGCTTGTTTTTGTTAAGGAACTTTTTGTCAAAATAAATGTTTATAAATATAATTTTTAAATAAAACTTATTTTAAATAAAAGTATTTATTTTAAATAAAAAAGTATTAATAAGACCCTTGTAATAATTAAATTTAAAAATTTGTAAAATTTACAGTACTAGGGCATGTATAAACATACGCTCCCAGAGACGGACGTTAGCAAATGTCAAAATAATTCACGTTAGCACTGAAAGGTTAAAGGATAGCAAAGCAGCAGTCCCTGATAATACACAAGCAGAATTACTGTAACTAATGAAAAACGAATCAATAGCAATAATCGCAAAGATATTCAACAACATATACAACTCTGGAGAAATACGCACAGAATGAAATCTGAGTTTATTGCACTTCCAAAAAAACCAAGAGTCAAAAAATGTGAAGATTACCGTGCTATAAGCCTTATGAGTCATCTCCTAAAGATAAATTATAAGAGAATCTACAAGCTGTGTGAAAGTCAAATTTCTTCCAACCAGTTCGGGTTCACAAATGCTGTTGGTACGAGAGGCTTTGTTCTCAGTACAAGTTTTATTCCAGAGATGCAGAGACGTCAACTGCGACGTATACGCATGTCTGGTTGATTACGAGAAAGCGTTTGATCGAGCAGAGCACGCCAAGATGATGCAAATATCTACTAAAAGAAACAGAAATTAACCACCAAGATCTGAAAATAATTAGAAATCTTTATTGGAATCGGACAGCAAATCTCAGAGTTGAAGGTGAACACAGTGACTATGTGAAAATCATGCGTGAAGTGAGGCAAGGCTGTATTTTGTCTGTTCTAACCTATAATCTGTACTCTGAAGTATATATATATATATATATTATATATATATATATATATATATATATATATATACGGATATCTTGGGTTTAGTAGTCAATGTTGGCCTTTAAGTAAAACTCTTTTAGGTTTGTTAAGCTTTCGAGTTTATTGTACTCTTTTTCAAAACGTACTAAAAATTAACATAAAAAATTACATTAGAAAAATGAAGTTATTATATCTTCAATAGGCTTATATATATTTTAGGTTAGTTTGACAGAGGAAGTGTCTATGTTTATGCAAACCTTCATTGCAAATTTTGATATTAGGTACTTCTCTAAATGTATTTAGTTTTATTTTCAAAATTGGAACCAGAAATATAAAAACAATATCGAAATTATATACTAAACTTAAAACACCCTTAAATAATAGAGAAAGCTCCAATGTAGTGTACTCTCTACCCTGTAATAATTGTAATAGAGTATATATTGGAGAAACGTCCAGAAATTTGTCCGGAAGATTAACATCTTACAAGAGTGATATTAATCTGAATAAAGTACAAGCCTGTGCATTAAGTGAACATTGTATTACAATGGGCCATACGCCTAACTATGAACAAACAGAAATATTGAGAAGGAAAAGAAATTACAACAAAAGACTGTTTCTAGAAATGTGTTTAATTAAAACTACACAAAACACCTTAAACAAAAGAGAAGACATTGAAAATCTTAGTGCTATATACAGTAATTTTCTTTTAAATAAAAGAATAACAATATAAAAGTTCTTAAAAGTTACGCATATTAAAGGGATTATTCCAAGTTCAAATGAGATAAAATTTGAAATCGTAGGCTTCCACGGCCAGAGTCAGAATTATAGTTTATTCGTCTTCCGGGTTTGGACCGTGTCATTTGTGAGTGACCCAAAAGTGGGTTCATCCCGACGTTTCGCTACAATTGTATGTAGCTTCTTCAGGAGAACAAAGAAATCAAAAGACAGGAAGATGGGTAGTTAGCAACGGTAACTCAGTTACTCAACGCAACGAGAGGCGAATACTAACTACCAAGATGGGCATTTGGTCACAGTAACTCAACTATGGGCAGTCAGAGGTGAAAACCAAATGCCAGGACAGGAATTCACGTCCAACAGCTCAGAACACTAACGCGTCGAGAGGCGGGGAGTGAATCCGACGATTACTCCGCTACCGCTCTATTTATAGTCGCGGTGACCTGTCGTGTCGGGACGTATCGGCACACTCCGTGGCGATACGTCCGCTTCTTGACGTTAATCCGCTTGTTTAATAACTGTAATATTATATCAAAATTTGCAATGAAGGTTTGCATAAACATAGACACTTCCTCTGTCAAACTAACCTAAAAATATATATAAAAAATAGAAGAGACATGGAAACCTTTGTAATAAGTTTTGACAGAACGAAAAAGTAAATCAAATTTAATAATGTTAGTATGTTGATTAATTTTGCTAATTTTAAAACACAATCCTCACAAATGTATTGAAGATATAATAACTTCATTTTTCTAATGTAATTTTTTATGTTAATTTTTAGTACGTTTTGAAAAAGAGTACAATAAACTCGAAAGCTTAACAAACCTAAAAGAGTTTTACTTAAAGGCCAATATTGACTACTAAACCCAAGATATCCGTATATATTATTCACATGGTCATTAAAGCACTTTCTAAAAAAAGAATATATATATCGAAACTTTGCACGAAACTGAAAAATATATTTTACTAAATGGTTACCGGCAAAACAACATCAGATATGCAGATGACATCATTTTAGTATTTGCGGACAACTTAGAAGACCTACAAGTTCTTGAACAGAATCAAGTATTAGAGTCAACAATATGGTCTCAATATAAACGTTAAGAACAGAAACCTTATGATAATTAGCAAGAAAAAGATAACAGAAGGTCAACTCTACGTCAACCAATCCCCTGTAGAATGAGTGACGCACATAACTACCTCGGTACCATGATAATGAAGAATGGACCAACAATCAGGAGATTAGAGCACGCATCGGAAAAGCTAGATCCACCTTTAATCGGATGAGAGCCTTCTTCAAAAGTCACAACCTCTCTCCTAATACAAAAGTAACAATGCTGCGATGCTACGTCTTCTCTGTCCTTTTTTATGGTGTTAAATCGTGGATCTAAAATGAAGATATATGCAGAAAACTGGAAGCATTTGAGACGTGGCTAGATTGGACAATACTTAAGATCCCGTGGACTGACCGAGTGACAAATGAGGAGGTCCTTAAAAGAATAAATAATAACCGAAAGGTACTGATCACCATTAAATCTCAAAAATTACAATTCTTCGGACATATTATGCGAAATGAATCCAGATATGCTCTCCCTCAAGTCATCCTGCAAGGAAAAATATTTGGAAAACGAGGTCCAGGAAGAAGAAGAACATCTTGGTTAGATAACCTCAGAATCTGGTTCAATACAACATCTGTGCAGTTTTTCCGCACTAGATGTGAATCCAATTTGCAATGACGAAATAATGTTTTATTTTTGTTTAGAATAGTTTTTAAAGACTTATATGTTATGTTCTGATTTTAAATTAATTGTAATTTGTTTAGTAAAAAAGAAAATAAATCAAACTATTAAAAAAATTGTAAACTATTTTTTGTGCTACGTAAATAAACATTTGAAATAAAAAAAGTTAATATATATAAATATTGTTAAAAAAACTACAAACAATAGATTATTTTATTGAATTTAAAACAAAATGCATGTAGAGGACTATTTTTATGACCGGTATACTAGACCATCTGCGACTACTGACACACAAAATTAAACTGCATCTACTGAAAGGTTAAAACTATTTACTTTAAAAAATAAACTAAAAAAGCTACAAAATTCTTATTTAAATGGTAAAAAAAACGTGTTCAAATAACTTACCGTTTAGCAAGGCAAGGATTTGTGGCCAACTTTTTTCGTCCTTTGTTTCATCTTTAAAATTCACTTTAGTGATCATCTAAACAAAGGTAAATAATATTATTGTTATCAAAAAACTTGTGGTAGTAATGACATATATAAATTATACCGGAACTGACTGAGATAGGAGATACTACAAACCTGAATAGTACGTTGATCAGGTTCATTAATTTAAAATACTATACATACCAGTACGAGTATATCTGTACTGTAATTAATATACACTGTGTGTAAGCAAAATGGAATAAGCTAGCTAATCAATAATTGAGGGAGTATTCGAAAAACAGTCGAACACGTCGATTAGTATTTTACTCAACATCTCAGATTTGATAGATCTAATTGCAAGCGTTATTCGTCTTTGTAAGTCAGCTAAGATAGTGGGTTTAGTTTTGTATACAATACTTTTCACATAACTCCATAAGCAAAAGTCTAATGGCGTCAAATCGGGGGATCGTGGTGGTTATTCCATCGATCCTCGCCTCCCTATTCACCGATTTGGAAATATGTGGTTGAGGGACTACCGGACATGGATTTAATAGTGGAGTGGTACTCCATCTTGTTGAAACCATATCATATTCTGGAAAGTTTCGAACGTAGTTATGAGGTCCCAATCGTTTTATAATGCTCCTTTATCCCCTTCTTGTCGATCGACGATGATAAATATAATAAAAGGTTGAAGTTATGCAGAAAAATGTTGATTTTATTGACAGCTACTAGTAATTACACAATATGATGTTGGTTAGGTAACTACTTATAATGAACTGTGCTCACATGAGCTCAAATCCCCAATTTATAATCTCACAAATTATTTGAGGCAGCCTTGTACCTGGCTACCTACATCACGAGGGTTGGAAATCTTTGGATTCCAAGCCTTACTTCAAAGGACTTGTGAATGGATGCATCTCCATAGGTTTGGTTCTTCAGTGACCGTTGAAAGATAAGGATTTTTAATGTGAGCAAATACAGCTCCATAGAAATAAAATCACTTTTGAGTTTATCGATTTATAATTAAATCTTTTAAGAGTAGAGAAGCTCAACACGGCCGTAACTTACTATACAATATCAAATGTACTCTTTCTTTATAACACGCAAAGGAAACACCGTTATGAGAAATTGCCCGATTTCGGCGGAGAGAAATATTTAATACGTGAATTGTGAGTTTTTAACTACTCGATGCGATGCCTCGATGGCCATGTGTCAACTTGAACTGATAAAACACTACATAACGCGTGAACGGGAAGATTACCCTTATTCTATTTAGGTGTGAAAAATATTTAACAGGGTCAGACGTCAGACGCCACTCAGTCGGGTGTCGCGTTCAAACTTAATAAAGTGATTATTTTAGATATTCTACACTAAGAAAAGTCTAAAGAATTACATTTTTACTTTATATTTTAAAACAATGTGTGCATTTCTGGAACATAATTCATCCCTCAGCACAGAGGATATTGCTTCGATCATATCATACCAACAAACTTTGAACTATTTGCTTACTCAATTAGGAAATATATTATTCGGCAGTTTATTTAGTTGTAGGTAAATGAACTAATTATTAAAATATTATACGATATGGTTTTACAATGCCTCACTTATACACGGCGAAACTATAAAAGATTGAGAAGTTAAGAATAATGTGAGATTACAAATTAAGGGGTTAATTTGTGATTGAATCGAATTGTAGTCGAATATTCTACCTTTATCCTGTCCACCACATCAACAGCTCCTTTTGTTAGATAATAAAATGTTATGTCTGAAGGTTTCATTGCATCGCCACTTTCTGGATCATATTCTTCATCTTTGTAAACCATCGACAGCATCAGCACATGTCTATTAGGTTTTGGTACATATGAAGTAAAAACGCATTTATTGGGATCGACTCTCCAAGCAAATATGCTGCTATTTCTTTTTCGTAATTAAGTATATTAAAAGATTGGGGAACCTCTCGCTTGTTAGTACGTAATGTGCGAACTAACGTTATACGGTGGTTGTGTATCAAGTCATTAGCCAAAGATACATATGTAAAGTTAGTTGCATAGTTACATTTCATCCAGTATCATTACAATATCTTAAAAGCCTTGTTAGAATCTTATGGGCATCGTTCTTTAGTCCATATGGACTAGTTGGTTATTTACCTGCATAAATTTTAATGTTATGTTTATAAAACATTCGAGAGTTTACAACAGCGTAGATTTGTATGCCATATTTCGCAGATTTTTTTTTATTTACAATATACTGGAGGAACTTGCATCTCTCTCTGAAACCCTCAAGCATATCATCCACTGTTATGTAATTACCCATCGAGTAATGTTTGTAAACACTTCCCAACAAAGATGTTCAGAACATATCGCACAGGCGCCAAATCATCTTCTTGGACTCTTTTTACTCTAGATTCAATATCATTAAACCTAATAGCTTGTACCAAAGAGTGAAAACGGCGTTCTGACATAGCAGAAGCAAAGTATTCTGGGGCCGTTCTGTCCGTGCTCCAAAGTTCTGAAGTATTTAAATGTTGGGCTCTTTTTACACCAGCAAGATATAAAAGCCCGTCAAATGCACTCATTTGTTTCTGGAGAGTCTAATTTTTTGTTTGTAACGTTTCTTGTTGGTACAATCTGAAATATATTGAATGATTTTATCCGAGAAAAAAGTTTCTAATAATCCAATACTATTTTTGCTTCTTAGGTAGCTTTTAAACCTGGTATCTGTGTAACAATATTTTGAGGGCTGGTTTTTCCAACTTTGTTTTGATTTTGGTGCACTAACCATTTAAATATCATCTTTACCAGTATAATAGGGACCACTTCTTTCAGATCTTTCTAAATTTGATTGTGTAGAGGCAGGGCCTCGTACTTTCCCTTCATCTATTTCGTCACTTGAGAAAGCGGTCTCTGAAACATCTGTGTCCGATTGATCTACTTCATCTTGGTGCATATCATCTTCTATAGCCTCTTAAAAGGATAGTTACCGTTGCTGTTCCCTCTCGTACGCCATCACAAATAACAACAAAGTCCAAATTTAGTTTAGCTCACAAAAAATATTTTAATATAATTCAAAATTCGTAACTACGTAATCAGTACCGCGTTAGATTTTTTACTAGCATTACGACAATTACTACTTTCATAGCGCACTAAACAGATTATTGTTGATAGATAGATAGATAGATAGATAGGTTTATTGACAATTTTTACATAGTAAACACTACATGTCATGTCACAATAAAAATAATTTACTTTTGTATACTAAGAACTAAGAAATAATACAAGAACATATAATAAAACATATACAGTGAAAATTAGATATATAAAATTATAGCAAATAAGAAAGAAACATTTCAGTAAGGCGTAATATAGTTTTCATTAAAAACGACCACACTAGGAGCTCAAACAAACAAATTCCTGTATACTATAGAAACAGTGTTCCAGCAGGAAGTGTTTTGCTAGTTTATAAAATTGTTTAGAATTTATTGCCTCAATATCAATATTTTTGTTTAAGTTTAAAAAACAATTATACAGATTATAATCTATTGTATTAAGTTGTGTAACACACAATCTGGAATATGGTATAATGATATGACTTTTATTTCTTGTATTGTAATGATGTTAATCAGCATGTGATTTTACATCTTTTATATTATTATGAATAGTTAACAAAGTTTCAAATATATATATTGAAGGTAAAGGAAGAATGCCATACTTCTTAAATAAGGGTTTACAGCTGGTGCAATATTCTGCCGAGTCAATAATTCGGATTGCTGCTTTTTGAAAAGTGAAAACTTTATATGCATAGGAGGAGTTTCCCCAAAGAAGTATGCAATATGTCAGGATACTATGAACCATTCCAAAATAAACTGACCTAAGAATATCTCGACTCACAGAAGTAGCCAATCTGCGCATAGCAAAAATCTGTGAGGCGAGCCCCCTACATAATCGTTCAATATGGTGCGACCAGTTCAACCTTGTATAGTATCCATAGTAACACCTAGTAACTTTACTGGTTCAGATGGTGTAACCCATCTATCAGAACTAAATACGATTGTCTGGGTTTTCTGCTCGTTTAACTTAAGTTTGTTACAGTTAAACCAGGATTTAGATTTTTCTAATATATCCTGACTGTAATCAGTTTTACCTCTACATAATAAAGTTGTGTCATCTGCAAAAAGAACACAGTTGGTGTTATCCAATGCACTTGGTAAATCATTTATATATATATCAAGAATAGTAGAGGACCCAAAACTGATCCTTGTGGTACTCCGGTTGAAACTGGTAAAGGATCAGATTCTTGATTATTAAATGCAACAATCTGTGTTCTTCCTGTAAGATAGGATTTTAAAAGGTCATGTATGGTGCCCCTTATTCCATAGTACTCCAATTTTATCAATAGTGTTTGAATATCTACACAATCAAAAGCTTTTGTAAGGTCACACATTAAGCCATTAGTAGGTTCACCTGCATCAAAACCGTGAACAATATGTTCTATTACTTCTAATAAAGCTTTAGTTGTTGAGTATTTTTTTCTAAAACCAAATTGAGAGCTAGATATAATTGATTTGTTATCCAAATAATTTGATTTCAATCTAAATTAAACATGGGAGTGACTAGACAAAACATTGAGTGGGGCATAGCTGGCCAGAGATAAATATACGAGGCGCGAAAGAAAAGTACTACAAAAAAATTAAAAATGTTAGATAAATTCTAACAGCGGTACTGATCGCGGGCTATGATCTGATCTTCAATAAATCCTGCACACACGTTAACCTTCTCAAGGTATTAAGTATTGCCTTCTATCATCCACTGAGGATTTTCCCTGTATCAAAAGGCAATTTTGCCGATTAGCATGACTGTGGAGAGTAAAGGTGCACTCATCAGAAAACAATACATGTTTTAATTGGATCACATCTTCTCTTCCATGAGCTCGTGAGTGTGTATAATTGCATTTTGGTTTTTGTTAAATTTGAGTAACCGATGAATAGCTGATATCGATTACTGGGTCTGCTTTTCGAATAGATGTATATGAGTGTTCCTTAAACTCAAGCCTAACAGCCAAGTTTGTATTCTCACTTATTGCATTAGCAACTTCTTTTTTTTTACCTTCCTAACATGGCCCAGCTTGTGGAATTGCTTCTCTATTTTACTAATTATCGAAAACGAACTACTTCCATTTGCGTTCGTGGCGTGACGAATAAAACATTGGCGTTTTAAACCAAAGTAAACAAGTTTTTGTTTTTTTTTCAACATATCAATAAAAACGAATGTTTAAATAGTTTTTGCTTGCTTTATTATAACCAAGACTAAATGGGAAAGAAGTATTAAGACAGTGGTAACGACTTTCGACAAATAAATAATTTTCTTTTCTAAATGTGAATTTTTGCATTTTACTTAATATTTCAGAAACAATCAAAGATAGGTATCGGACATTTTATTTAAAACATGATTATCTGATACACCCCGTATAAAGAGTTATGGAAAAAAATGCACAGCTATAAATACTAATCAACGTGTCTGACCGTTTTTTTCGAATACTCCCTTATTTATTTATTAGCTAAAGTATTCCATTTTGCTGATACACAGTGTATATGTTTCCTTTGGGATTATTTTCACTGTTTTAGTCATTATATTTATTGTCGTATTATTTTATCGAAGCAAGGCAATTATATTCCTATTATATTTTAATATACTTGGAGCAGCGATATCTATATCGATTAAAAACAAAACGTAACATATTACGTTACGACACACAATCTGTAATCTACTTATACCTACTTTATAAACGTTATATTTTTAATTTTAATTTTACCCTTCCGTCGGTCGCAACTTACTCTTGTATAAAAGCTGTCGCAATGTATCAAAATGATACATCTAACTTTGACTTAAATTATTACAGTAACCCTAATAGTTTTTGGATCAAGCGTAGTTGTAGATTACATCCAATAATTCATTATGTTCCGCCTTTGTTGTTTGTGTAAATACATTGTGATAACAAAAAACTATTTGTGTATGTAAATCCGAAGATGTGACTTACGAGTAAAAAGCTATTGACAGCAAGGGTCGCAATGTATCTGTTTGATACGTGATTATAAAATTTACTAACACGCAGTCAGATATTTGTGGTGTTTTAGTTGTGTTTTTTATTATTTTTATAATTTATCCTTTTAGTAGGATTTAAAGCATTTATATATTATCAAAAAACGGTAACTTACACAGAAATATAACCTAAGTACTCTTATAAAATGATTTGATTTCTTATATTATAAATTGGTAAAACTAAAATGTTGCCTTCCTATATGACGCAAACATAAAATATATTATTTTCATATAAACTTTTTCATCAAGAACAACAAATAGTAAGTTAATTACTATTTAACTGGGAATAAGCCACAATTAAAGATAAAAATACGTTTATTGAAACGTCAATAAACGTATTTTTATCTTTAATTGAGGCTTATTCCCAGTTAAATAGTAATTAATTTAAAATGCCACAAGAAAATAGCTTCAGAACAATATTAACAAATAGTAAGGTTGCACACAGAGCTTAAAAATAAATAATACAGAATAAAGGAAGATGGAGATGAAGAACAAACTCTTTAGGTCAACTGATAGTAATACAGCGAGCAAACTCCATTATCGCTAAACTTTGTCTACTAAAAAGACGGCTTAAGGAAAAAATATTTAAAAACATAGGTAGGTACTTACCGTTTTAGTGAAACGTATTTGACTAAATATTACAATTTGAGCACTACATTAATGGTGATATAATTTGGTTATTAATATTTCCTGAAACATTAAAGTAGATGAAATGGTGTTTAATAAATTTTGTAAATGTAAGAGAAATCAAATAACGTTATCTATAGAACTAAATGAAGATTATATATAAATAGTATATTATAATTTATATATGAATTAAAATACGAATAAATGTTGTTAAAAAATATTTTTAAATTTCTTATTTAAACACGTTCATACCTTATCAATTCAGGGTTAGTAGTATGCGACATATATAACGAAGCTAAAGTTTATTATTATAATTAAATAAATATTGTTTTTATAGGAGTGTAAAGGTCGATTCAGACACATCAGTCACGTCTCGTCACAGTCTTGGCGCCGAACCGAACAATCCGTCATACAAAATATTCTTTAATAGAAATATGGCGCCGGCATTCATATTCATCAGGCGACGAACCGTTTCCCAGCTGTCAGATAGTTGATAGTTCTGTGACCAATCAGGACCGGTTCGGCGTCGGGACTATGACGGGACTGATGTGTCTGAATCGACCTTTAGCCAGATAATAATGTGTTAATAGATCATGCAGGTTTATGTATATCGGCATAAATTGCATGTTATACCTGAAATGCCTACATTTATATTTTCTACAACTGTTTAAAGTAATTATTGTATCTAATCTATCACTAAAAATAAATCAATTTTAAAACCACTATTTGTGGTGTCTTTTTCAAAGGACCAAAGGAAAATATAAAAAGAAAAACTCTTACAATCTTTATACTCAAAAAAGGCTAGGACGACAATGCACACTGTTTGCCCAGGACGATAACTGCCAGCGCCACATGGGAAACCAATCTAAACTAATAACTGATATTTTATTCATATTATAACCGGAAATTTTACGATACCGTTTTCACATTTTTGGTTGAAATTTTTAAGCCACTAACATTTTTGAAGATGTTCATTAGTTTAGGTGTCAGAACTGGAATGTAGGGTAGGCAACCATAAGTTATTTTAGATGGTTTAGATGGTTTACCATGAGATGGTGTGTGTACCTCAGGATCTCTCGCAATATGTAACTAGGATGGTTCTCTATCTCCGCGAACTTTGTCCTTGCGTTTTCCTTTATTATATCAGTCACTTTAATTTGTTGTAATTCTCTGAAGAGGAATCTTTCTGAAACGTATCTCGGTACGTTGACTGCTTCTCTTAGGCCGCTTGTATTTTTTTGTGTTGTGTTACATATGTGCCCCCATGTGAGAGATGCATATGTTAGTAAAGGAAGAATTATACTATTTATTCTTCTTCTTCTTAAAGTACGCTCTCCTCAATGGAGGTTGGCTACTACAATTTTAAACTCTTCTCTATCTTCAGCTGTTCTTATTAGCTGTTCAAAATTTAGCCCGAATTGTCGGATGTTTCTGAGCCACGATAGTCTTTTCCTTCCTAGGCCTCTCTTTCCCTCGATTTTTCCTTTCACTATAAGTTGGGCATATTGGTACTTATTATTTCTCAGTATGTGGCCTAGGTTTGATGTTTTTCTAACTTTTACTGTGTTAAAAATATCTCTTTCCTTTCCTATTCTATGCAGCAGATCTTCGTTTGAGGTATGCGATGTCCATGAAATTTTGAGTATTCTCCGGTAGATCCACATTTCAAAGGCCTCCAATTTGTTTACGGTTGATGTTTTAAGGGTTCACGTTTCAACTGCATATAGAAGAGTCGACCAGACGTAGCATTTTGATAAACGTAGTCGAATTTCGAGTTTTATTCGAGAATCACAAAGCAGTTTTTTTATTTTTTCGAAAGATTTTCTGGCCTGTTCTATTCTCGATCTTATTTCTAGATCAGGATTTAGGCTGCTATCGATCCAACATCCCAGGTACTTAAATCTATTGACCTGTTCTAAAATGTGCCCATTTATTGTGCAAGGTTGAGGTACGTTTTGATTTTTTCGGATTGACATCACTTTGGTTTTTTAATGTTTATTTTCATACCAAATTGCTCACAGGTCGAGTTGGTCTTGTCGATGAGTCGTTGTAGACCTAAGTCGGAATCCGCAATTAACACTGTATCATCGGCGTATCTGATACTGTTGATATTTACGTCATTCACCTTGACTCCATCCTTAGAATCCTCCAATGCTTCTTTAAATAAAAACTCGGAGTAAAGATTAAACAGCAGAGGCGACAGAACACATCCTTGTCTAACTCCCCTACTAATTTTTACTTCTGCGGATGTGGAACCTTCGATCCTAACTCTGGCGTTTTGGTTCCAGTACAAGTTTTTTAAGAATTTGATGTCTTTTCCATCTAAACCGACTTCTTGCAAACGTTCTAATAGTAATCGTTTCTTACTCTATCAAATGCTTTTTCGAAGTCTATAAAGCATATAAATATATCTTTCTGTTGGTCGTAGCATTTTTGGGCGAGAACTAGTAAACTGAACAGGGCTTCTCTTGTTCCCATGCCGGCTCTGAATCCAAACTGATCGTCTTCGATAATTGTTTCGCACTTTCTATAGATACGATTTTGTACGATTTTTAGTAGGACTTTTACTGCATGACTCATAAGGCTTATCAGATGGAACTCATTGTAGTGTTGTGGGTTTGGCTTTTTTGGTAGTGGGATGAATATTGACTCCAGCCAATCTTGGGATATTTTACCTGTATCATAAATGCGATTGAATAAAAGGACAAATATTTCGATATTTTCTTCGCTGATTAATTTTAACGTTTCTGGGTATATTCCGTCTGGACCTGGGCTTTTATTTGTTTTGAGATGATTAATTGCATTTATGATTTCAGATTTCAGAATTGTTGGCCCTTCGTTGTTATTTTCCAATCTTGGTTCTTCTCGTATGTCGTGAAAAAGAATTTTTATATAGTTTTCCCATTCTTTCAGTTTACCTTCGTTGATTCTAGCGGTTTGCCATCCATGTTTAGCATGGTGTGAAAAGTCGTTCTCTTGGTAGTCGATGTAAACTCTTTTACCTTTTTATGTAAATTAAAAAAATCGTGCCTTTGTTGCAGTTCTTCTATTTCAACGCATTTTGTTTCCAGCCATTTCTCTTTTGCTTCGGTTATTTTTTTTTTGAATTATTCTATTTAGTCTTTTGTTTTCTCCGTCCTTGTCATTTTTTCTTTTATAGGTTTATCGGCCGTATATGCATAAGTTTGAATAATGTTAATATTTACTAGCTTTCCGGATAGTTGAATAAGAAGACATCGGTCCGAAAATTTCTCTTTTGCTTCGGTTATTTTTTTTTTTCGAATTATTCTATTTAGTCTTTTGTTTTCTCCGTCCTTGTCCATTTTTTCTTTTATAGGTTTATCGGCCGTAGGTGCATAAGTTTGAATAATGTTAATATTTACTGGCTTTCCGGATAGTTGAATAAGAAGACATCGGTCCGAAAATGGCACAAAGTTTGTGACGGCATTGTTATATTTGTCTTCTAAAAGTACTCCGACCCCGTTACGATGAACCGGATCATTATTACCAGAGTAATAGAAAGTTTTGTTCATGGTTTTAACTTAACCTAAACCTGGCCATCTAACTTCACCTCAAACCCAATATCTGCAACACTAAACGTTTCATTTCGTGGCATGCATTTGCTAGTTTTCCTGTTTCGAACAGACTTCTAACGTTCCATGTTGCAATCTTAAAGTTTGTATTTAAAATATTTAGGCTATTCCTCCCGGGGATTCTTCGCACCACTTGATCATCTAAGATCTGCCGGGGACTAGGGGCCATTTCTGTTTGTGCTTTCATTGTAGTTTTCTTGGGAAACATATACCAGAGTGGTTTCCCGTTGCCTTCTCTGGTTTGTATTTTATCCGATCCTCTGGACACAGACGCTATTTGCAGCCGCCCACTCTTTGTCAGACGCTGCGTGCTAGTTTGATCCTTACCACTTGAAACCGTTGGTCAGCAAGTGGGAGATCGCTTATACCGGCAATCGCTCGGTAAAATTTTCGCCATATCTGGCTACCCTCTCTTAGTTTAGCCTGCAAACCAATGCAGTTGCCTGGGGTGTGGCACGTGGAGCCATAAGTGAGAGTTAGCTGTCTTATGAGGACCAGTTATCAAGAACCATCTCCCGTCTATGACGCTCGATGTGGATCGTTCCGATAAAAGGTACTACCTCTATAACACAACTCTACTATTTATTAATCTTATTTTAGTTTTCATTCTAAGTTTGCTTTTTCTTCCTAATAGGCCTCTTATTGATGCTCTTGTAATGTTCGCTTTTTGTGTTGTAGCGTCTCGGTGTTTAATAAACGTTAAGCATTTGTCCATGATGAAATTTATGATGCAATACGAGGTTTGTTTTAATAGCGGAAGATACTCGTGGTGCCAGAAGAATCTAGCGATGTTGCCACTATTTTAACAAGCGCTAATGAACGACGTGGGTGATTTTCACCCCACAACACAGTTGCCGGGTATAAAATAAAAAATATTTTTTCTACAAATATTTTAATTTATATTTTAATTTTAATAGATAAAAAAGTTTTATTGCGGTATATTACATTTTACTTAATATAATTTGAATTTCTTCCAAAGTCTTATTCCTTGTTTCAGGTACAAATTTGTACGTCAAAATAGCTGAAATGATGTTACATACCCCAAACAATAAAAATGGCCCTCCTAGTCCTGTTACATTGTTCAAACTATAAAATAATGTATTCATAATCAGGTTTGATAATCCAAATGCCGAAATGGCTACAGATATGCCCTTGGCTTTGATATTGGGAGCAAATAGTTCCCCAGGCATGAGAAAGGGTACAGTACCTATACCATATGACGAAAATATCAAAAACAGTATGAGACCCACTAAAGGAAACCACTGAATTGGTTTAAGGTTAATATCAGGATAAAATGTATCAATAAAAAAATATGCTGCTTCTAGCAAAAAGATAACAGATGTACATAGTAATGATGAAATAAGAGATACCCTTCTACCCAATTTGTTTGATCCGTATGAAGCAGTTGAATATAAAAGAAAATTCACAAACGTGTATACTATTGTAGATAGTTCCAAGCTAATGTCAGTTCCAGATTTTAAAAATATAAATTGTATGTATGGGCCCAGGGTGAATATGCCTGAGAATATTTGACTGATTCGTAAAAAAATTGCAGTAAATAAAGCTCTTTTGTTTGTTTTATTTGTTATCAAATCTGACCAAGAACCTGATTCCTTTAACTGCTTTTCCATGACTTCTTTTAGTTTTGAAAACTCTTCTTCTACATTATTTTTACGTTTGAGCCTTCTTAAACTAAGTTTAGCTTGTTCATCTTGTCCTTTATGTATATAAAAATATGGACTTTCTGGCATAAACACAAAAATGAATAAAAATATTATAGGAAATATTGCACAAATCAAAGAAGCAACCGTAACGCTACAATATAATCCTAAAACGTTAATAACAAATTGGCCTAAGAAACCTGCCCAAACAATTGCATTGCCCCAGGTGCCTCTTACTTGTGGACTGGATATTTCGCCGATATAAACTACTAGGCACGTATATGCAATAGTGTCACCAATTCCGTTAATTAGTCTAGCTAAATAAAATAGCCAAATATTTGTAGAAAACGCTTCAAGTACATATGTGATAACGTAAGGTAATGATGATAATAGTAGCAAACGTTTTCTTCCAATCTGATTAACTATCATCGACAAGAATACTGGTAGTATTATGACTGCTACAGTGCTTATCACAGTGAAGTATGAAGCTTCTTCTTCAGTTATATTGTAGTGTTCATTATCATTTACAAGTTTGACTAAGAATGGTGATGGCCATGCAAAAGAAATTCCGCAGGATAATGCAACCAGAGAAACTAAAACAAAGATGTCATTATTATTGAAAATAAACTAAAAGATTTTTTATTCTATATTGAACAAAAAATAATACTGTATAAGAGAACAACAACAAAATATGTGTTGAAGAAGTTATAAAGAATTTTAAATAATTTTTATTTAACCCTTTATAGGCTATGGTCGATATTTTGACCACTGCACTTAATGATACTTATGAGCTAGTAATTGACATGAAAATTTAGCGAAACGCCAATTCTGTGTTTAAAAATGAACTGTACACAAAATTACCACCACAGTACAAAATCCGGCAACGTGGCAGTAATGTGGTCGATTCGCCAACCACAAACAAACAACAAACAACAAACAAACCGTCAGACATACGTTACCGTTGAACGTGATCGTAGGTTTTTGCTGTTTGTAAAAGTTAAAAGAAAAATAATTTACCAAGAACTAATACATCAAACTCAATATAACACATCACAGTATTATAATCTTTTGTTATCTATTCTGATTCGATTGGTGCTAAGATAATATATCTTGATTTACTGAACACAATCTCAAAGTAGCACATGTTGATTTTACAATTGTTCTATTGAAATGTATCATTCTTCTTCAGTGCTTTATCCGGTCCGGATGTTGGTGATCATCAAGGCTTTCATGGTTATGTTGAGTGCTCTGCGAAACAGCTTCGCGGAGGTCATCTCAAACCATTGTCGGAGGTTTTTCAACCACGCTATAGGACGGCGTTTCGGTCCGTTCCTGCCAAATACTATACTTTGCATAACGAGTTGAAGAATTAAGCACTTCTTTTTCTTTTGTTATGCGCTGTACGGCCCCAACGTTAGTGACATGGTCCACACACGATGTTTTTAGTATCCTCCTGTAAATCCAAAACTCAAAAGCTTCAATCCACTTTTCAGTGGCTTGCGGCAGTGTCCAGGCTTCAACTCTATATAGTAACACTGGAAGATTGTAGCACTTTACTATTCGCATCTTGGTTCCCAAACTGAGATCACTGCAGCACAGCAGATAACTCAACTTGATAAAGGTAGACCATGTCAGGATTAAGGCTGTGGGAAGTAAAAATCCTGTAGGTTTATTCCAGATACTCACAGGCGTCACTCACATTATGAGTTTAAGCGGCTGTGATACTGCGATGGGGAAGGCAACGGGAAACCACCCCATTATGATCCCTAGTAAAGTTATCATGGAATCAATGAGTGTAACGAATACTACTGATCATGGGCTGCGGAACTCAAGATCCGGCAGGGGAAGGAATACACAATCAAACCACAGGGCTTCCCAGGTCGCTAGCCAGCGAAATCCCTGTGAGGAAAACATCACTAGACATACGATGAAAATGAAGAATCCATACAAAGTGGCTACATGGAATGTAACAACCTAATATGAAGCCGGTAAGTTGAGAAATCTACTCTCTGAAATGGACAGATTAAACATTACTATCATGGGGGCGAGTGAAACAAGATGGCCAAACAAAGGGAATTTCAGTGCAAATGGTTACGCCGTTTATTTTTCTGGAAATCAAGACCATATCCATCGAAATGGAGTAGCAATAATTATCAAACAGCATATTAATAAGTGTGTCACTAACTTCATCCCAATATCAGACAGAGTAATTTTAATACAGCTGAATGCTAAACCTGTAAATATAAATATCATTTAAGTTTATGCTCCCACTGCTGACGCAGATGAGCAGAATATTGAAGAATTCTACCATCAAATAGAAGAAGTGCTAAAAATAACAAAGAAACACAAAGCAATAATAATTATGGGTGACTTTAACGCTAAAGTTGGACAGAAGATGACGCAGGGCATCACCGGAAAGTTTGGCTTGGGAGAGAGAAATCAAAGAGGTGAACGGCTAATAGAATTCTGCCAAGAAAATGACTTCGCCATTACAAATACCTGGTTTCAACTTCCAGAAAGGCGTCTTTACACGTGGAAATCCCCTCAAGATGGACATCAAGGCAGAATAGTACGGAATCAAATAGACTACATCCTAATAAACCACCGATTTCGAAACAACGTTAAAGATGTAAAAACTTACCCCGGCGCTGACATAAACTCAAATCACAATTTACTCTGCTCCAAAATACAAATTAAATTGAAGAAATTAACAAAGCCAACTAAGCCTTGTAAGATATATCTCGACCCCCTGAAAAACCCTCAAACGCGCGAACACATAACACAGCAAATAAATAGTAAAATACACAGAATATCAAATATACCAAACGAAAACAGAACCATTAACGAATGCTGGTATGCCATTCAAAACTCGATTTTAGAGAACGTACAAGAGTCTTTGAAAACACCTACCATGTTGGCAAAAAATGAGTGGATGACACAAGAAATTCTAGATCTGATGGAAGTTCGACGGCAACACAAAAATAGAAATATTATCGAATATCGTGAAATTAATAAACGCATAAAAAGAAAAATTAAGCAAGCCAAAGAATCCTGGCTTGAGAATTTATGTAAAGAAATAGAAGACCTCCAAAAAAAGCATGACAGCTTCAACCTGCATAAGAAACTTAAATATACTGCCGGAATTAGAAAACAGAAAAATGCTCACATACTTAAAAGCGCGGACGGAAAAATTTGTGATCACGAACAACAGTGCAAAGAATGGGAGAGATACATCACTGACCTTTTTGACGATGCTTCTAGGGAAAATGCTCCAAATACTGCCTATGACAACCAGTTGGACAGAGGTCCCAATATACTGAATTCGGAAGTCGAAAAGGCAATACAGCAAGCCAAAAACAATAAAGCACCTGGACCAGATCAAATCCCTGCCGAACTACTTAAACTTTTGGATGAGGAAAGCATTGCCTGCTTAACCACTTTCTTCAACAAAATTTACAACGAAGGAAAAATACCAGATGATTGGTTAGAGTCACTGTTTATAACATTACCAAAGAAAAGCAGGCCCACCAAATGCAGCGATTTTAGACTAATCAGTTTGATGAGTCACACACTGAAGATACTCTTACGAATTATACAAAACCGAGTATTCCTTCTATGCGAAAGTAAGATGGGTGATAAGCAATTTGGATTTAGAAACGGTCTAGGAACTAGAGAGGCACTATTCTGTATGCGCGTTCTATTACAAAAAAGTTGTGAATTCCGAAAGAATGTTTATGTTTGTTTCATCGACTTCGAGAAGGCGTTCGACAGAGTCCAACACAATACACTTTTCGACTGCCTACGGGCAGCAGGACTTGACCACTATGATATAAGACTGCTGAAATACTTATATTACAATCAAGTAGCCTCTATCCAAATTGGAGACAGTCCCACTGAAAAAATACCCATCAAACGTGGAGTACGGCAGGGTTGTGTTTTGTCACCCACTCTTTTTAATCTGTACTCTGAAGAAATCTTTAGGGAGGCTTTGGATGACAGACAAGAGGGAGTAAGACTAGGTGGAGAAGTAATCAACAATATTAGATACGCTGACGATACAGCCATTCTTGCAGAAAGTTTACAAGATCTCCAAACATTACTAAATCTAGTCAGTGAAGCAAGTTATCGGAGAGGCCTAAAAATCAACATTTTAAAGACAAAGTGGATGGCAGTTGGAAAGATCCATATAGATCAAGGTCTGCTTTCTCTTAATGGAGAAGAGATAGAAAGGGTAAATCATTTCGAATACCTTGGCAGCTGGTTAAATGTAAATTGTGACTCTGATGAAGAGATAATATCCAGGATCGAAATATCACGTAAGGCCTTTATGACCTGGAAACCAGTTTTATGCAACAGAAACCTGTCAATGAACATTCGTAAGAAGGTCCTGAAATGTTATGTGTGGTCGATCCTATTGTATGGTTGTGAGACATGGACGTTAAAAACCACAATGCTAAACAAGTTAGAAGCATTCGACATGTGGTGCTATAGACGAATCCTAAAGATATCGTGGGTTTCGCACACTTCCAATGAAGATGTTCTTCAAATGATCAACTCAGAACGTCTGCTCATAAACACCATAAAGAGGAGAAAAACAGAATACTTCGGCCATATAATTAGAGGACCCAAATACCATTTACTTCGCCTTATAATACAAGGAAAAGTGGAAGGAAAGAGATGGATTGGTCGAAAGAAACTTTCATGGCTGCGTAATATTAGACAATGGTGTGGTTTCACAGTAGAAGAATTATTTCGCGCAGCAGCCGACAGAGAAAGGTTTCAGGAAATTGTAAACATGATGACGGCCAACGTCTGAATACGGACACGGCACCCAAAGAAGAAAAAGACCATGTCATTTCAATTTTGGATCTTATCTCTTGAGCGTAGTCGCATTATGAGTTGAAGGTAGTTCCGAGGTAAGTGACTCTGTCGACTCTCTGGATCTCTTCACTAGCTGCCAATAGTGCCCCGGGATCTAAAGTTGCACGGTTGACAACCATGAATTTAGTTTTCTTAATATTAAGGTCTAGTCCGTATGTTACGCTCACAGTTCTCACTCAGTCTAGTAAGGCTTGTAGATCATTTAGGCTGGTTGCTAGTAACACAGTGTCATCGGCGTAGTGGATAATATTGATGTATTCACCGTTCACTCGGAGTCCCATCTCTAGGTTTGTGAGGGCTTCAGTAAAAATTTCCTCAGAGTATATATTGAAAAGAGTCGGCGAGAGCACATAGCCTTGCTTTACTCCTCGCATGATCTTCACTTGATCGGTCAGCTAGTCTTCGACCTTGACTTGAGCACGCTGGTTCCAGTATAAATTCACGATTATCCGAATGTCCTTCTCGTTGAATTCTACACTTTGTAGGGCGACGATCATCTTCTGATGCTGACAACGGTCAAATGTGTTGGAATACCCAATAAGACAAATATAGATATTATAACTGACATCGTGGCCTGTCTAAAAAGTGCTTCATGTGTACCCATGAAATTGAGGAATCCAAATTTCATTTCACCGACATTTTCTTCGCATTTCTTGTAAATTTTGGCATGTATGATTTTAAGAAAAATCCCAAGTCCATATTTATAAGGTAGATAGTTCGGAAATCTTCGCACGTTTTTGCATATCGTTTTTTTGGTACTGTTACAAATGTTGACAATAGCCATTCCTCTGGGATATAACCTGACTCGTATATGGCGTTAAACAGTTAAGTTAACTCCTTTGTGCTCACTTCACTCATCACCTTAATAAGTTCAACGGGTATTTCATCCGGACCTTACCATTCTTAAACTGTCTTAAAGCTACTTTTACCTTGCTTTCTAGTATTGACGGCTCTATCATGCAATCTATTTCTGGAAGGTTACTTTGGTAGTCCCAGAAAAGTTCTTTGATGTACATTCTCCAGGTCACTAACTTCCCTTTAACTGTTGTCGCCAGGTTCTCGTTTTTGTTTATGAGGAGGTGTGTGTTTCTCTTCTTGTATTAACCAGTGGCTTCTCAAATCTTGCGGTGGATATTTATATGATCGTGTTTCACTTGGAGCTCTTCATTAGTTTACATTTTGCTTGTATCCATGCCTTCTTGGCTTCTTCTTATTTCTTTTTTAATTGTTTGGTTGATTTCTTGGTATTTCTTCGCGTCCCTGTTTTTCATTAATCTCCTTTGGTCCATCATCTGCAGAATGTCATCAGTCATCCATTCTTTATTTTTCACTCTTGTTTTCTTTCCCAGATGTTCTTTTACCGCATTTGTTCTTGTTGTTTAGCGGTTTCTAGTTTTTTTTTTCATTACATTTTTCACGTTCTGATGAACTACAGGGCCTTTTAGAGTATCAGAATCCAGGTTCTGTTTAGGTTTACTTTTGAAGAGTTTCTTTAGTTTGAGTTCTATCTGGCCCACTAATGGGCTGTGGTTCGATAAAACGTCTGCTCCTGGGAAGGTCTTCGCCGAAGTCCAGCATTTCTTGAATCTTTCGTTATTGAGAATAAAGTCTCTCTGGTTTCTGATGATGTTGTTCGCTGTATCTGCAGGTGTCTTCCACGGATAAAGTCGTCTCATGATGATGGTAAGGTCGTTATTCTTGGTATATTTTAATGTTTTTTGTACAAGTGCGTAGAACTCCTCGATATCCTCTTCAGGCTTTTCTGAGGTTGAAGCGTAAATTTTAATGATGTTTGTGTTAACGGGTTTGCTTTGCAGCTTCATCAGAATTATTCTATCAGAGAGAGGTAGCACGCTGATCACAGTCCCAGCGACATTTTTGCTCATAATCACCGCTACGCCCGTTCAGTGATGGGGTTCATCGTTTCCCGCATAAGATACTATAGGCTCATCCTCACAGCACTGTCCAGAGATTTCATCTCGCTGATTCCCATCACGTCGATATTTAGTCTTTTCATTTCTTGAATGGTGTTGCGTATCTTTCCCCCTTCATTTGAATATTCCAAGTACATGATGATTGAACTAGAGACTATTTATGGGATTGTTTCCCGTTGCCTTCCCCATCGCAGTGTCGCAGCCGTTTAACTTATAATGCGAGTGGCGCCTGTGAGTATCTAGAATTAAGCCTACAGGATTTTTTCCACAGCCCATTACTTTGCCACTTTATTAATATATAATGTATTTTTGCTCTTGTTAAATTTAAATCTATACAAGTATATTCTTTGTTTCCGTCAATCTGACTTAATTAATATTTCTAAGAAAGAAATTGCCTTTCTTATATTTGTAGATTATAGATTGAAATGGCGTTCGATACTGTAGGTCGTTATAAAATACTTCGAGCATTGGCTGACTGCCGCATTGACTACCGATATATCGCCTTGATTAAAAGTATTTACGAAACTGGTACAGCTTGTGTCGCCATCATGAAGATACCAAGAAGTTTCGAATATAACGTGGAATTAGACAGGGTGATACTATCTCCCCTAAATTGTTTACAGCTGTTCTTAAATATATGTTCAAGCAAATGGAACGAGAGGATAATATGGGAATTAATATAAATGGGAAAGATCTGAACCACCTGAGATTTGCCGATGACATCGTTTTAATATTTGATAGAGTTGATAAAGCTACAAAAATGCTGCACACGCTCTATAAAGTGTCAATAACAATTGGTCTTAAAATTAACACCTCAGACAACTGAAATATAATGAAGGATATGTTTCACATGGGCTGCCTTTGGTAGATTGAATAACATTTTCAAGTCTATTATCCCAGTTTGTTTAAAAAAAAGGGTTTTAACCAGGCCGTTTTACCTGTTCTTACATATGGTGCAAAAATACTGACTCTGAAAAAAGAACAATAGATAAAATAAGAGTTACACAACGCACTATGGAAAGATCAATATTAGGTATTACCATCAGAGATACAGCACCAAACCTAGAAATAAGAAGAAGAACAGTAGTCACAGATGCAGTTGAAAAAATAGCCATGGCTAAATGGGCTTGGGCCGGACATGTTGCCAGATTAACGGATGATAGATGGACCAGAAAGATTCTGGAATGGCAACCAAGGCAAGAGGCATTTCGAAGCAGAGGACCACCACCAACTAGATGGACGGATGATATCAAGCGCATGACTACTGGATGCAAGAAACTCAAGATAGAAATAGGTGGAAAGTTTTACGGAAGGCCTACGTTCAGCAGTGGACAAATATAGGCTAATTGTTGATGATGGTGATGATGATGTTGTAAAATTGTATGTAAACAAAATCTTTGAAGGTAAATTTATAGATGTAATAAATAATAAAGCCACACACATAAATAATATAAGAAATTTTAACTTACTTGCTGAGATTACTGCAATTTGATACCATGTTTTTTCTCTTTGTATTTCCCCAAATTTATCAACATGCTTTATGACCGTCATTTTTTTTTACTCCTAGTAACTTCCCATATTGCTATACCTAAAAATTGGCTTGATAAACTCTGAATGAACCATTCGTTTGTTTGTGAATGATATTATCATAATATTAGAGTATTAAGTAATTATTCAAGTTCAAAGTTTTTATATTATTATCAAATATTTGCAGAAATTAATTTTCTTAAGGCTAGAGTTTTATATTTATGACACGATATAACTATAATGCTTACTAGACATAAAATTTTATGTAGGCAGTATCTCGCAATAATATCTTGCTTTAAAATCTCTCTTTACTCATACATTATTAACAAGTCCATGAATAATACTAGTATCTACATCATAATTATTCACCTTTTTTACTAATTAAAATTTCTAATGTGCAAAATAGTTAGAAGATTATTCGGCAGTGTAAATTTTTGGGTTTGAAAATCTAAATTTTCTTCGCTACGTTGCATTTAAGCAAAACAAAGCCGAGACAAGACGGTTTTTAACAGGTTAAGTGCCATGAGAGGCCAATACGGACAAGTGCTGTGTCAGTTAAGACCTCCATCGATAATTTTCTTCCTACCATTTTATTCCTTTACGTAATAGAGAAATATAGCTTTTCATTTGATCGGATTTATTAAATGCGTGCCTTCTGCGTTGTCAATATTTCGTCAGCGAATTTGTTACTAATCATCAGCACATCTCGCTTGTCCTTCCACTTCTGAACAACGATGCCCGAATTACTTTGTTCAGCTACATGTTCGCCCACTTTTAATTTTTTGGGACTGACGTTTTTTGGTTTTGGTGACATTTCAAAGTTATTGGGTATTTTCTCTGTTGAGTTTTCCATTACATAATATTGCTTTTAACTTATTAAAAGCACTTCTAGCTATCTCAATATGACGATTTATTTCCGTACTTCTATCCCATTATTCATTTGCCTAAAAGTGTTCCTTTAGCATAAACACTGTCTTCTACAATCTTGTTCTTGCTTACCACCATAACTTTTGTTTTATTTGTATTCAGTGCCATTCCATACCTTTCGCAGTATTGGGTAATGCGATCAGCCAAGATCTGCAGTCCTTCTCTGCTGTTCGTAAGGAGTATTGTATCATCTACGTATCTATGATTATTCAGAAGTGCTCCGTTAATAAGTATGTCCTCATTTACTTCTTCTAATGCCTCTTTTAACAATTCTTCTGAATGCATATTAAAAACTAAAGGGGAAAGCACACATACTTGTCTTGTAGCATTTGCAATTCATTGATTCTTTGAAATATATTGAAATCCCCTTGTATGTGTATTAAATTGAAATCCCCTTATATATGCATTATAATAACGAAGAATTTTTTCAATGTTTTGTAGTTCGTATCTTTCAATTTAAAACCCAAATAATATTTCGTTCTTTTCAGCGCTAAGTAATAAAAACCAATTTAGAGTTGTTTATTTATTTTGTGGCTGCGTATTTTCCAGTCGATAATTATTTGATTTAAGCCGCCCGATGTACTACGTTTTCAAATTAATAATCTACGTCTTAATTTTCGTTGTGTTTTGGTTATTTCAAGTGCTTTGTTTATTCTAACTTATATGAATTAATTTTGAGGATAATTAGATGACTTTCGTTGGAGCTGCGATCTAGAGCGGTTCAGCGTTATGTCCAAATTCATGGCGAATTTGTAAAATTTTTTGTGTTTGCCCATTTTCATAGAAAATGTGTAGCAGTGTGAAGTTAATAGTTCAGTTAATGTTTTTCCATCCTTCTTCAAGAAGACTTCTTGAAAAAGGCATGGATTTCATGCCGAAACGTCGAAAAAAATATATAAAAATGTCTTAGTATCAAATTAATTTTTTTTATGAACTAAGCCCAAGAAAATCCACTAAAAAATATATATTAAGGTTCAAGAACTAAACTCAAACTATATAATATTATATATAATATATATATTATATATATATATTATATATTATATATATACTATGTCTCAATTTAATTATATCTTTTGGTGAACCTCACCTTCACGTACTTCACCTGGCCGGCCTCCGATATGGGGAAATCTGATGGTAGGACTATTTATTTAAATATAATTTAAAAAGTAATGGCTAATCTGCAGTTATAATCACAATTCTTTTTACCCTCAATTTTAATAAGTTTTGTACAAAATTTATACAAAACTAAACCAACTGCTAAGATGCTATTTTCTTCCAGACAAAGAAAAGTAGGTCGCCATCGCAGCAGAATGAATAGAGCAAATCCACATCTTTTCCGGTTGCTGTCGGAAAATGCAAATGTTTGTCCGGAAAATTGCATGAGCCCAATTTTCAATTAACTTGTCAGATTTATTGGGAGCTTTGCGATTAAAGCCGATTAAGATCACATGAATAAGTTGTATAGCTGATGCCGCTTACTTTATATTCAATTAAGTTATATATTTATCCATGGTAGCCTTTGTGGATGCTAGAGACGTCAATATAAAGTAGTCAATTGTAACTGAAACATTTTAATTCTGGAGTAAATAAATTATAAATAATTTTTTTTAACATGTCTATCGTCCATAAATCCTGGAGCATCAATTTTTTTTCGTATTCTACAAAGCATATTGCAATTAACTTGCTATATTATTTAAAATCAGTAAGTCATAAATCTTAATTGAGAAAACCAATGAATACAACCTTCCGCTGTACTTATCAATCGTAGATTATGAAAAGGCTTTCGACAGCATTGAACACTGGGCGGTGGAAGAAGCTCTGGTCAATAGTAGCATAGATTCAAGATACCGACAATTGATACATGATATTTACCAAAACGCAACCATGACCGCAATTCTGGACTACAAATTAATACCGGATAATATAAAAGTTAAACGAGGAGTCCGACAAGGCGATATAATTTCACCTAAACTGTCTACCTTGACCCTCGAAGATATAATAAAATCAACAGATTGGGAAAACAGAGGAATATGTATTAACGGAAAGTACCTAAATCACCTTAGATATGCGGATGATATACTCCTGATCTCCTCGGAACGACAAGAACTGAAATTAATGCTGAATGAACTTCATGAAAAATCACTGCAAAAAGGCCTAAATATTAACTTCAACAAAACAAAAGTCATGACAAACACGGAAGACCAAGAGGCAATGAAAATACAACCAGAAAAAATAGAACAGATAAATGAGTATATCTATCTAGGACAAGCAATCAGAGCTAACAGAGAAAATCAAACAGCCGAAATATCGAGACGAGTAAGAATGGGATGGGCAGCGTTCGGCAAACTTTCTTACGTTCTAAAAAATCAAACAATCCCTCTATACTTACGAAGCAAGGTATATAACTCCTGTATAATACCGATACTCACCTACGGAGCACAGACATGGACATTTACACAGGCCAATTTGGATAGGATAAGAAAGGCACAAAGAGCGATGGAAAGACAAATGTGGGGTATATCACTTAAAGATAGAAAACGTAATCAGTGGATCAGAACCAGAACAAAGACAGTAGACGCGATAGAACAAGCAGCAAAACTGAAATGGAAATGGGCTGGACACAATGAACGTCTCCAAGACGGACGATGGAACAATGCCATCGGAAAGTGGCGTCCATACAATGCAAAGAGATCAAGAGGCAGACCACAGATGAGGTGGAACGATGACATCAGGAAACAAGGAGGTCCCACACGGCAGAGAACAGCTCAAGATAGGGAAAGATGGAGAGAACTGGGGGAGACCTATATATCCAACAATGGAAGGATAGAGAATAGGTTAAAAAAAGCATAAGTTGCAGTTAGCTTTTATTTATAATGTTGTGACATTTACTTTGATTTGTATTAGTAAAGTATTCAGGAGTGAGTGTATATCCCAGTTTATCATTAAAAAAATAATTGATTGAGAATAAATCTAACTAATCAAATCCTAACATGCGACATAGCAAATGAAAGGTGAGTGTTCCGTTTCACATCTATGTTTATTTCAAACTCATTTGTCGTGATAATAATATATTCATTTTGTATCTGTATTCAAACATACGCGTCACTGACTAGAGCGCTCTATGGTTTTAGCCGTTGAAGGAGAAGCCAGCTTTGGCGCCAATAACTTCACTTCGCTCTGAACACTAGACCAACTCAGTCGTTATTCTGAATCGTCGGCTTATTTACTGTAATTTGTATGAAGTATGCAATAAAAGTGTATCAACACTCTTACAATTTTCTTCTCTCTATCTTTGTTAACCATTTTTCATCCACTCCTGAATGTTGGTCTCTCCCAATTGCTTGCATCTTTCTCTATCTTGCGCCAATCTAATTCACTGTTTGCTTGCCACTGCTCTTATGTCATCTACCCAATTTTTTGAGGTCTTCCAATACTTATTGTTGTCGCCCTTGGTCTCCATTCTAGAATTCTCCGTGTTCACCTGTTTTTCCACCAGCGCCATTTCATTTTTGTAATTTCTTCCACAATTTCCCTAATCTTGGTTCTACGTCTTATCTCGGTGTTTCTAATCCTCTCTCAGTGATATTCCAAGCATGATTCACTGCTTTCATTGCTTTCTGACATGCTTCTAATTTTTTAGCAGATTTTTTGGTAAGGGCTACTGTCTCCAACACTCCTACACTCCTTAAAAGAGTGCCGAATAGATCATCGCTACACCACTGTCATCAAAAATATCTATGATAATGCCACGGCATGCGTCAGACTCCATGAAGATACACACAAGTTCAACATTCATCGTGGAGTTCGCCAGGGCGACACCATTTCACCAAAACTGTTTATAACATTATTGGAATACATGTGTAAGCGTGCAAACCTAGACGAAAAGGGCATAAACATAAATGGAGAGCAGCTTAGTCACCTCAGGTTCGCGGACGATATAGTCCTGATAACAGACCGCATAGATCATGCCATCGAAATGTGCGAAAGACTCTACCATGCCTCTACACAAGTGGGTTTAAAGATCAATAACTCAAAAACACAAGTGATGACAAACCTTGTTCTGAGTGAGATTATCAACATAGCTGGAACAAGTATAGAACAAACATCAGCATACAAATATCTGGGACACGAAATTCGCTTAAGCAGAGATAACCAGACCAATGAACTAATACGTAGAAT